ATATGGCTCTTTATGAAGCGTTGTATGGTAGAAAATGCCGATCTCCGATTTGTTGGGCCGAAGCAAGCGATAGACCGTTGTTGGGATCATAACTTATGCAAGAAACAACTGAGAAAGTGAAACTGATTCAACAACATTTGAAAACCGCCCAAAGTCGCCAAAAGAATTATGCGGATATCCAAAGAAGAGAGAGGGAATATGAAGTCGGCGATCATGTATTTATCAAAGTAACTCCAATGAAAAGGCAAACTCGATTTGGGGTTTAAGGAAAGTTGGCACCACGATACATTGGGCTGTATGAAATTATTGAGAAAATCAATCCTGTGACATACCAAGTAGCCTTACCTTCGGTTATGGAGAACATGCATAATGTTTTTCATGTTTCGATGCTTCAGGAGTATTTACGGGATCCACACCATGTTATTGAGCCAACATATGTGCTTTTGAAGGATGACTATACATATGAAAAGAAGCCAATTCAAATTGTGAACTGCCGAATTAAAAGACTGAGGCATAAACAAATTCCATTGTGAAAGTAGATAGGCAAAATCATGGAGGGACATATGCAACGTGGGAAACGGAAGAGGATATGATGAAGAGATATCCTGATTTGTTTCCTCTGGACCCGATATTCTATCAAAATGAAAGTAATTCGAGTTTAGATAACCAAACTCTTTAAGGGGGGAAGACTGTAACAACCCCGACCTATGATTAACGTATAATCTTTGATTAAGAATGCCTAATAAGTAATTAAAATAAAGTTCTACGTTAATTGCATGTATTATACGTTATTTGTATTTATGTCTGTCTGTTATAGAAAGATCTGTCTGTGGTTTTGTTTCATTATGCAAATTGAAGGCCTTATCAGCATCTGATCATGAAATTGACTTGGTTTATGTGTTATTTGGAATTTTTAGAACAATATGGTAGGTTCAATCGAAATTTGATTCAAAACCAAATAAATAGAATAAAATAAATATTTCATCCAAGCAAGAATTAATTAAATTCCATTTATGGTACCTATATAAGCTCAATGTTGTCTCATCTCACCACTATACACACACTTCATCATCTTTTTGTCATCCTTAAGAGCAAAAATGTGAGAAGAGAGGGAGAGGAAAAGATTAAAGCTTAAGGGAGAAAAAAAAAGAGAGAGGGATTGCTAGTCAATTGAAAGAAATTAGAAGAGTTGTGCAAGAAATTCTTAAAATTCAAAGAATTGGGAACTCTAGGTACGAATTATATTCCTAAAGTTTGTATTCAAGACATTAGTGTAAGAATTCTAGAGATTAAAAGTGTTTAAACATAAGAATTGAGCTAGAAATGAAGGAATTTATGTCATACCATGCATGCATATTTTCTTACATTTTGAGCTTAATTTTCAAGAATTGTCACATGTATGTAGCAATTGTACCTTAATTTTGGGAATTCATCATGTTTTCCATCATTTTACCTTATTTGATCAAGATTTGGAAGCTTTGAATTCAATTCATTACCTATATGTTATGCTTTCAAAGTTTCAAGTTGAATTTTGGACAATTGATTTACTTTTGGGCCTTGATTTTGCGAAATGATTATTAATTCTTGATGTTTTACAAGTTTACGCATGAGTTCTCAAGTTTTGAGCCCAAAGGATGTGTTTTAAAGCTTTGAAATTAAGTTTTGCATCTTGAACATCAATATGAAAATTCTAGAATTCTGCATCACCGCTTGAGCGACCACTCTTGGTTTTGCACTTCCGCTAGAGCGAACAAAAGTTGGCTCGAGTGTAAAATTCATGCTCCCAGAAGTTTTACAAAGTTTTGCAGACCGCGCAAGCGACCAAAGTTGTGCTCAAGCGAGGACCCTGTTTACTCAATCTTACACTCAAGCGACCGTCGAGCATCCATTGAGCAAAAAAATCATGTAACTAGTATTTTTGCAGAGTTTTGCAAACTGCTCGAGCGACTACCCTTATTTTTTAACCTTAGCTTGAGCAAAGGAACTTGCGCTTGAGTAAAGACCCTATTTTCAGAAATTTGACTAAGTGTTGCAACATATATTTGGCATCCTCATTGCATCTTAGGCATTCATAAGCCTTAATTAAGACATAATAATGAGGATAAGAGTTAGAAACACACTAAGATAGAAAAGAAATGAGTTTAGTGTTTTCTGAATGTGTATTTCAATGTGTATGAGCTATATATTTGTATAGGTCACGTGCCTTAGCGGTTTGGTTTGTTTGATTCGTCTGATCTGCTATTGGAGCCATCTGTGAGTAATGACTCTGTAAAGTTATGTTTAACTTATTATTTTATGATGATAAGTTATGTTTAACTTATTATTTTCTGATGATTTGAAATGATCAGTTTTCTGAAATGCTATATTTTATATGAATGAATGATTGTTCAAGTTTCTAAAATGTAGTCGTGGCATCTTTAACATCATATGATATGCGTCTCTTTATGGGTCATTGAAATGTCTTTATGGCCATCCCCTTATGGGTTATCAGAAACGTCTCTGTGTACATGAGTCATCGGAATGCCTTTATGGCCGTCCCTTTATGGGTCATCGGATTTGTTAATGCTAATGGATGTACCGTATATTATCATGTCATGTATGAACTTTGAACATGAATATGAATATAAATATATATCTGTTTCTGAATATGAATTTAAATTCTGAATCTGTTATAGACATCATTTATTAAAACCTTTACTTTGTTATTGTTCACTGAACTTTAGCTCATCGTATTATTTATATATGTAGGTGATCAAGCGCGTGACCAGACTTAAGTTATTGCCTAGAGGTCAGTTTTGTCTAGCCAACCATAGTGCCTCTCGCGGAGGTTCCGAAACCTGCTTGTGGTCAATGTTTTGTGATCTAGAATCCTGTTTAAGTTTTCTTTGTTTTATTTGTATGTTGGGCTAAGTTCCATTTTGGTTTTCTGTAAGTGAATTGACGTAAGACTATTGCTCATATGATGTCATGTTTATGTATATAAAGTTTAAAATTTTTGTTTCATGTATGTCTGCACAGTTTTATGGACTATGTATGTTTTATATATTTGCTTCCGCAGACCCTTATTATGTAATGATCCGTTCAGAGGCCTTTGTTAATCCCAAGATTACTGGCCGGTTACGACGCTAAACCTATAGGGATGGGTTTGGGTCGTGACAACGGCGGTGGCCAAATGTGATAAGTTGGAGGTTTAAAGAAGAGGGATATAATTGGGATTATGGTGAGGGTTCGAAGAGAAAATGGAAGAAACTTAATTAAGTGGGTGAGGGTTCAAAGAGATAAGGTAGGGGTAAATAGCAACCCTAAAAAAAATTGATTCTCCAAAAAAGACTATTATTTTAAGACGGGAGAGTACCAAATATTCTACTAAATATCTCACATTGGTGTGAGACCCATATAGGACCCACACCATCTGAATCTCACACTCATATAAATGTAAAACATTTATGATGTATTTGGTTGAGAGATTTGAGGAAGGATTTGGAAAGGAAAATGAAAAAAATATGTGAAATGTAAATAAAATATACTTAAATTTTACCTAGTTTTACACATTTTTTTTTCTTTCTCTTTCTAAACTTCTCTCCAAATTCCCTAACGAAACACAACCTTAGTAAAATATTTGAGATTCTCGCATTTTTCTAATTATGTACTTTTCCTATGGGTAAATTACACTTTGCCCCCCCTAAAGTTTCACCCATTTCCTACTTTAGCCCTTTAAGTTTGATTTTTCCCACTTTAGCCTTTTATGTTTACAATCTTTCCCACTTTTGTCCTTCATCTTTGTAATCATTTTCACTTTGGCTCTTTAAGTTTGATTTTTCCTAATTTGGCCATTCATGTCTGTAATCCTTCTCACTTTGGTCATTCATGTTTGCAATCCTTCTTACTTTACTCCTAGACTAACTTCTATCTAAAAAAGTAACAAAATCTGTCTTATCACTAACACATCAGCTCCATATGTGATGTACAAAATTCACTAAAGATGGAAAAAATAAAAAATAAAAAACAAAAAGATTGGATTTTTTTTAGTCTTTAGTGAACTTTTTTTTTTTTCCAAATTTATTCATAAACATTATTACATTATAGATGCATCTAGATTAGATGCAACTAAAAAAATAATAACAAATTTAACTAAAAAAAAGAAAAAAGTTCACTAAAGACAAAAAAAAAAAAAAAAGAAGAAAAATGATAGTAAAATTTTCATTTTAGAATTGACAATACAAATGTTTGTGTCAGTATATTTTCATTTTTCATCTTTAGTAATTTTTTTTTAGTTAAATTTGTTTTTATTTTTTTAGCTGCATCTAATCTAGATGCATCTACAATATAACAATGTTTATGAATAAATTTGAAAAAAATGTTCACTAATGACTAAAAAAAAATTCCAATTTTTTTGTTTTTTGTATTTTTAATGAATTTTTTACATCATATATGGAGCTGGTGTGTTAGTGATGTGGCAGATTCTATTAGTTTTTTAGATGGAAGTTAGTTTAGAAATAAAGTAGGAATAATTACAAATATGAAGGATCAAAGTGGGATAGATTACAAATGTGAAAAGTCAAAGTAAAAAAAATTAAATTTAAAGGATCAACGGGGGAATGATTTCAAATATAAAGGATTAAAATAAAAAAAAATTAAACTTATATGATCAAAATAGAAAATGAGTGAAACTTTAGAAGGACAAGTGTAATTTACCCCCATCTATCATCGTCCAAAGATCCAATTCACATGACTTACCTATCTATCTATATCACGAAAAAAAAGCATGTAGGTGTTGTTTGGGAGGTGGGTTGACTTTTTAATTTTTTGATTTTTTTAGTTATTTTAGTTTGAGCTAAAAAGTTTGGTTTGAGAAAGATTTTTTTAATTTTTTGATCTTTTTTATGAGAGAAGAGTATAATGACTATAAGTAAGATGCGATATTTTGTTTATTGTGAATAAAATAATTTATTTTATCTTTTGTGACTTAAAAAAAAACCCCCAAATTGCTCTTGCCAAACGGAGCCCTAATATGTTATAGAGACCACTCGTTTTCCGATTTGTATGGTGGTGTGGTGGCTCGTGCCTTTTTCATCGCCGAGGCCGACATGAATCGGACCCATCTTTGTTCCATCAACTCTTCGTACCAGCTCACCCGGGTCCCCAAGATTCCCGGGTTCGGGTTCTTATTGCAGAGGAACGAGCGGCCCTTTGAACGGCGTCGTCTTAGGTTCGTCTTCAGGGCTGAGCTCACGAAGCCCTTCTCTGCCAACATTGGGTTGGATTCTCAGGTAATAAATGTGTATACGTTGAGTTGTGGACATGGTGTTTGATGAAATGACCATGAAGATTAATTAATTTGAAGATGAGGGCTGTGTGTTTGATTTTGAGCAATGGGTTTGATTTAGTTTTTGAGTTTTGAATGTTGTTTTGGAATTGTGTTAAAGAATTGAGAATAACTGATGATGGGTTTTATAAATAGGGTTATCTTAGGTCAAATTGAATCAAGTTTGAAAACTGTTCTATTAACTGGGGACAGCAATGCTGAGACTTGATGCATTCATATAATCATTGTTAATCACTAGTACATCTCTATGAGATTGAAGATCTTTTTTTGAGTGAGTTAAGGGACCACTTTAATTTATTTTAAACAAATTAGTTGCCAACACTGGGTAGCATTATCTGTTAGAGAGTTAGTAAATTAGGTTAGCACAGCCCGACATTCGAGCTTCTTCATAAGCTCGATGCCCCAACCCAACCTCTGTAGAAATCTAGAGTACAACCACTTGAGCTATGCTCAAGTTCTTGCCAACATTTGCTGATAAAAAGACAGTTCTTGCCAACATTTACTGATGGATGTTTTTTTTTTTCTTGTCTTTTCTTAAAAAAAAAAGAAAAAGAAAAAAGAGAGAGAGAGAGAGAGAGAATTGATGTTTAATTGTTGGAGCTCCATTTTTACGTTGCCTGTTGAATTCTCAATGACCACAAGATTCAGTGTCATTGCTTTGGCTGCAGTCAAAAGACGAATCTTGTTTCACATAAGTTTGATGTTCACTTGTTGCCCTTACATAGGGCTGTAATGTCTAAATGAGACAAGATACTTGAGCTGGACTTGATTAGTGGCTTGTGGAGATTGCTCATGTGGTGCACAGGCCAAGCTCAAATGTTCAATATTATTCTGCAGCTAGTTAAGTTTTGAGTCAAGCTTGGGTTAAGCTCATGAATGCTATACTCAAGCTTGGATTAGAAGCTCATTCAAGACATTTTCTGAAATAATCAACACGAGCTCTAGCTTAGTAAGTGAGCTTGTTAATTTATCAAGATTCAAGTCAACTTTTGGCAGCTTAATACTTTGGCTTAGCTTCTTTACAGTCCTAGTCTACCCTTGTTTCCTTTGCAGCAATTGGGCTGCTTTACACTGATTTTGTATTTGGAATAATAAAAATTCTCATAATCCTACTTACACCTGAAGTTTCTTTATGGTGAGCAGATGAATCAACTACACGCCGCTCTTAATACTTCACTTAGCCAAGAGCATGTTCTTCAAGTTTCTCTTTGAACTCATCTTTGTGTAGCTTTACTTTTGCGTTGCTGCTTCTCTGCCATTTAATGCTGTCGTCTGCCATTTTATGTGTTTTTAATGCAGCATAGTATTTCTTTCTTATGCCTACTATTGTAGACTAAGCCATTATATTGCCCTGTTTAATAATTAATCAGCTGCTTTCATATGAAAAAAGATGACAAACTTGATGACTTTAGGACAAATGTCATATCATGTACTGATGCCATTTTATTTGCCATTGAAGACCTTCCAGTCCCATGATTTATCACAGTTGCCCTGGATTGGTCCAGTTCCTGGGGATATCACAGAAGTTGAGGCTTTCTGTAGAATCTTTAGAGCTGCTGAACAGCTACATAATGCCCTAATGGACACGTTGTGCAATCCATCGACAGGAGAATGCAGTGTTTCCTATAATTTCCCGTCGGAGGATAAACCATTATTGGAAGATAAAATAGTGTCTGTTCTTGGTTGCATGGTATGTCTCCTTAACAAAGGAAAGGAGGATGTTCTTTCTGGAAGATCCTCCGTCTTGAGTTCATCTCGTGTTGCAGACGTAAACGTAATGGAGGATAAGCTTCCACCACTTGCCGTTTTCAGGGGTGAGATGAAAAGGTACTGTGAGAGCTTACATGTGGCTCTTGAAAACTATTTAATGCAGGATGATGATCGAAGCTTAAATGTATGGAGGAGATTACAAAGATTGAAGAATGTTTGTTTTGATTTTGGCTTTCCCCGTGGGGATGGTGATCCCTGCCATGCACTGTTTGCAAACTGGAATTGTGTTTATTTATCCACATCAAAAGAAGATATAGAATCCTTAGATTCTGAGGTTGCTTTTTGGAGGGGTAGCCAGGTAACTGAAGAAGGTCTGAAGTGGCTGATGGAAAATGGATTTAAAACCATTGTAGATCTCAGAGCAGAGACTATAATGGATAAATTCTACGAAACAGTATTAGATGAAGCTATTTTGTCTGGAAAAGTTGAACTGGTCAAACTTCCTGTTGAAGTCAGGACTGCTCCTTCAATGGAGCAAGTTGAGAAGTTTGCAGCTTTAGTGTCAAATTTGAGCAAAAAGCCCATATATCTCCATAGTAAGGAAGGAGTTTGGAGAACTTCTGCTATGGCCTCTAGATGGAGGCAGTTAATGGTGCGATATGCATCACAGTTTGTCTCCAAGTACACAACTACTCAAAGTGACATCCCATCACAAGATGGAGGAACAATGGAAGAATTGAGCACCTCGAACTTAAAAGGTTCATGCTTTGGTGATGAAAATGGATTGCTTCCGGAAAAAAATGATATGATTAATAATTCCACTAGTGATATTCTCAGTCATGACTCTCCAGCTGCAGAAAACGAACATCATAACTTTACTGGTGCCTATTTTGGAGTTGTCTCTCACCAAGACACCACATCAATGACATCAGCTAACAATGATGATGTCAATCCCCTCAAGTCTCAGCTACCTCCTTCCAATGTTTTCTCTAGAAAAGAGATGTCCATATTTTTAAGAAATAAGATCTCACCTCCTACTTACATTAATTATCAACAGAGAAGATTGGAAACATTGTGTGCTCCAAGAGAGAATTATAATGAGGCACTTCAGAGAAGTGAAATCATTGTTCAAAAGACGAATCTTGTTTCACATAAGTTTGATGTTCACTTGTTGCCCTTACATAGGGCTGTAATGTCTAAATGAGACAAGATACTTGGGCTGGACTTGATTAGTGGCTTGTGGAGATTGCTCATGTGGTGCACAGGCCAAGCTCAAATGCTCAATATTGTTCTGCAGCTAGTTAAGTTTTGAGTCAAGCTTGGGTTAAGCTTATGAATGCTATACTCAAGCTTGGATTAGAAGCTCATTCAAGATATTTTCTGAAATAATCAACACGAGCTCTAGCTTAGTAAGTGAGCTTGTTAATTTATCAAGATTCAAGTCAACTTTTGGCAGCTTAATACTTTGGCTTAGCTTCTTTACAGTCCTAGTCTACCCTTGTTTCCTTTGCAGCAATTGGGCTGCTTTACACTGATTTTGTATTTGGAATAATAAAAATTCTCATAATCCTACTTACACCTGAAGTTTCTTTATGGTGAGCAGATGAATCAACTACACGCCACTCTTAATACTTCACTTAGCCAAGAGCATGTTCTTCAAGTTTCTCTTTGAACTCATCTTTGTGTAGCTTTACTTTTGCGTTGCTGCTTCTCTGCCATTTAATGCTGTCGTCTGCCATTTTATGTGTTTTCAATGCAGCATAGTATTTCTTTCTTATGCCTACTATTGTAGAATAAGCCATTATATTGCCCTGTTTAATAATTAATCAGCTGCTTTCATATGAAAAAAGATGACAAACTTGATGACTTTAGGACAAATGTTATATCATGTACTGATGCCATTTTATTTGCCATTGAAGACCTTCCGGTCCCATGATTTATCACAGTTGCCCTGGATTGGTCCAGTTCCTGGGGATATCGCAGAAGTTGAGGCTTTCTGTAGAATCTTTAGAGCTGCTGAACAGCTACATAATGCCCTAATGGACACGTTGTGCAATCCATTGACAGGAGAATGCAGTGTTTCCTATAATTTCCGGTCGGAGGATAAACCATTATTGGAAGATAAAATAGTGTCTGTTCTTGGTTGCATGGTATGTCTCCTTAACAAAGGAAAGGAGGATGTTCTTTCTGGAAGATCCTCCGTCTTGAGTTCATCTCGTGTTGCAGACGTAAACGTAATGGAGGATAAGCTTCCACCACTTGCCGTTTTCAGGGGTGAGATGAAAAGGTACTGTGAGAGCTTACATGTGGCTCTTGAAAACTATTTAATGCAGGATGATGATCGAAGCTTAAATGTATGGAGGAGATTACAAAGATTGAAGAATGTTTGTTTTGATTCTGGCTTTTCCCGTGGGGATGGTGATCCCTGCCATGCACTGTTTGCAAACTGGAATCGTGTTTATTTATCCACATCAAAAGAAGATATAGAATCCTTAGATTCTGAGGTTGCTTTTTGGAGGGGTAGCCAGGTAACTGAAGAAGGTCTGAAGTGGCTGATGGAAAATGGATTTAAAACCATTGTAGATCTCAGAGCAGAGACTGTAATGGATAAATTCTACGAAACAGTATTAGATGAAGCTATTTTGTCTGGAAAAGTTGAACTGGTCAAACTTCCTGTTGAAGTCAGGACTGCTCCTTCAATGGAGCAAGTTGAGAAGTTTGCAGCTTTAGTGTCAAATTTGAGCAAAAAGCCCATATATCTCCATAGTAAGGAAGGAGTTTGGAGAACTTCTGCCATGGCCTCTAGATGGAGGCAGTTAATGGTGCAATATGCATCACAGTTTGTCTCCCAGTACACAACTACTCAAAGTGACATCCCATCACAAGATGGAGGAACAATGGAAGAATTGAGCACCTCAAACTTAAAAGGTTCATGCTTTGGTGATGAAAATGGATTGCTTCCGGAAAAAAATGATATGATTAATAATTCCACTAGTGATATTCTCAGTCATGACTCTCCAGCTGCAGAAAACGAACATCATAACTTTACTGGTGCCTATTTTGGAGTTGTCTCTCACCAAGACACCACATCAATGACATCAGCTAACAATGATGATGTCAATCCCCTCAAGTCTCAGCTACCTCCTTCCAATGTTTTCTCTAGAAAAGAGATGTCCATATTTTTAAGAAATAAGATCTCACCTCCTACTTACATTAATTATCAACAGAGAAGATTGGAAACATTGTGTGCTCCAAGAGAGAATTATAATGAGGCACTTCAGAGAAGTGAAATCATTGTTTCAAACCCTGACTCGAGGCTTATGGAAGCAGGAAATTCAAATGGTTCAGCAAGTAAGAATCTTACTCCTTGAAGTCCTCCAGTTAGAAATGGGTCTTATCTATTTGATAATAATTGTATATCCTCTGGTTCCACCCTGAATAGATTTGACAGTGGGGAAAGGTATCCCACGAGTAGTATAGATGATCCTACAAATCTGAGTGATGATTTAGATAAGAATGTTAATTCTATCACAGAGAACCGAAGGAACAACAGTGTAGCCTCCACAGGTTCAGCTGATGATGGTTTGGAGCTGATTGAAGGAAATATGTGTGCATCAGCAACTGGTGTGGTGCGAGTGCAATCAAGAAAAAAAGCTGAGATGTTCTTAGTTCGAACAGACGGAATCTCTTGCAATAGAGAAAAGGTAACAGAGTCTTCCTTGGCCTTCACTCATCCGAGCACCCAACAGCAGATGCTTTTGTGGAAATCAACACCAAAGACTGTACTATTGTTGAAGAAGCTGGGCCAAGAACTAATGGAAGAAGCTGAAGAGGTAGCATAACAAGATCTTGTTACTGCACTTTGTCTAGAGCATAATTAATGCTTACTGTTTTGCTGATATTATCATTTCAAATTTCTTGGGCTTGATGCCGCAATCCATGAATGCATATAAGCAATATAAAGGAAGTTTAAGGTGTCTGTGTGCATGAAGGTTGGAAAGTATCCAAACAAAAGAAGATAAGCGAGAAAATTAATTGATTAATTAGAATGGTTCATCTAGCTTGATATTGAGTTCACCATTTTGTTTTGGTTTTGACATGTTACATGAAATGAATCTTATGTTAGATGGACTCTTCTAAATTTGTATAGTGCCCTTGTCAGACACTCGACACTTGAGTCAATATTTAATCTCACGGATACAAGAAAGTTAATATCATTGGCCTTTTTGTTTCTTGGGCAGTACCAAATACAAGTATGAATGACTGACTACACAGTGAATTATTCATAGTAGAGAATAAATTTCACCAAATATCATAAAAAATCATTATAAATAGATCCATGATGGCAAATAGTCGACATGCAACTTGAGGTCAGAATATGTGAATTTGCTAGAGATAAACTGAAGTCACAACTATTATACATTCCTGATACACGATGGCAAATATTTGGGTCATTTTGGGGGCCAATTGACATGCAACTTGATACCATTGTAGTAGCCATAGGCATATGCTATTTTCTATGTTTTTAAATTTCACTTTGAGCCCCCCATTTAGTAATCAGTTATAAGTTGAGTTTGGTTTGAAAATTCACAAAGTGATTAATTTCTTCCTTGAGAGGTTTTTAGGTTCATTTTTATCTAAGCCATCTAGCCTCTATATGGTTCAGTGGTTCACCGTGCTTTCCATTCTGCAGATTTTGAGTGTGATAAACAACCTGAGGCAAGCTTGCTTTGGTGGACTCTGACCATTCTTGTTCACTGTTAGGGGGAACAAGGAAGATCGATTGACCCCTGAATTGATTAGGTTCTTATTCTTAATGCTGTTTAGTGGACTACATATCACTTTTCAGATGTGAACCTGTACATTGGAGACAAAAAATTAAAAATAGGTTCCAAATAAAATGTTCTTGTTTCTGGAGGGATGTTGGTTTTGAATCCTTGAAAGTTTGGAGGATATTCTGAGATTCTTCTGATTCCTTCATCAGCAATTATGTGTATTTGTATAGTTATTCATATGTTTCATGTGTGGCCATTTTAAGAATATGCTCTGTATCCAAAGTGCAGGTTGCCTCTTTCTTGTATCACCAAGAGAAAATGAATGTTGTCGTTGAACCTGATGTACATGACATATTTGCGAGAATCCCAGGGTTTGGGTTCGTTCAGACCTTCTATAGTCAAGATACGAGGTATGGGAAATCATGGATTTAAAATTGTAAATTTGTTTGTTTATACATAAAAGACTTTACCTGATGTCCTTAACACAGTCATCTTCATGAGAGGGTTGACTTGGTGGCATGCTTGGGAGGGGATGGGGTTATACTGCATGCATCCAACTTATTCAGAGGTGCTGTTCCCCCTGTTGTATCATTTAATCTTGGATCCCTTGGATTTCTCACTTCCCATAAGGTATGCTGCGCAACCAGGCTTTTTAGATTTAATTTTTACCTCAAAATGAATGATTTTTCTTTTCACTCTCATCTTTCTTTTGGTACAGTTTGAAGATTATCGGCAGGACTTAAGACATGTTATCCGCGGGAACAACACACTTGATGGTGTTTATATAACTCTCCGAATGCGTCTCCGCTGTGAAATTTTTCGAAATGGTGAAGCTATGCCTGGGAAAGTATTTGATGTTCTCAATGAAGTTGTGGTTGATCGCGGATCTAATCCATATATTTCTAAAATTGAATGTTATGATCATGATTGCCTTATAACCAGGGTATGATCAAGGAAATCATTTCTTTCCATGATCTTTTGGAATAATCTTCAGTCGAAGTCTTACCTTTCAGAAAGGGAACTTGTGGTAGCACTATTTATGACAAATTCAATCTTTTCTAACCCAAAGCTGCACCAACCATTAATGCTACTTTTTTTTCTAATCTATAAATAGAAATAGCTTGACAATTTCTCTTATTTCAATATTTGTACTAATTTATCTTGTAGGTGCAAGGTGATGGAGTCATAGTTGCCACCCCTACTGGAAGTACAGCTTACTCTACTGCTGCAGGAGGTTCCATGGTAAGACTTCTTTGTTGAGTTTTAGACTCATTTTATTTAGGTTGTGTGTGGATCATAGATTTGGGTAGGGATTTAGAAAGAGAAAGAAGAAGACGAGAGAAATGGAGAAAAAAATTAGCTTATATTTCATTCACATTTCCCTTGCCTTTTCTTTCCCTTTCAAATCCCTATCTATGATCCAAACACAGCCTTAAAGTACTTGTAGTGTTTGTTCCTCGTGATTTTGAACATCATGAGTCAGCTTCCTTAGGTGAGCACTAGACATAGTACAATTTCTTCACCTTTTCTTTTTCTTTATTCATTTTGTGAAACTTTTGGGAGATTTATATGCTCCAGTGGACACACTCGGGTCTTTTTTGTACATATCCTATGTACAAGGGCCGTGATTTCGTGGTGCCCTTCTCATACTAAAAGATTTACTTATGAAAAAGGGACATGAAGGAGCTGTCAAATGAACCCCCAAAAAGAATTGTTCTCCTTTGATTTGTTTGGCATAGATTGGGTGTTCCCCAAAAAGGGTAAGTGGGAGAATGAAAGGCTAATGAAGGGCTCTGGGGAAGCTTGCTTTTTCATTGATTCTATGAATAGTTTCACATCTAGATATTTTATAAGTCCTTATTTGCTTTTGTAAATAGGCTTTAATTGTATGATCCTATTCAATGAAAAAGTGAACCAGAATGATACTGAATTTATATTTTCAGCTGTAGAACAAAACAATACTTAAACTAGGCTCGGAAACTTGCTTTTTCCCATCATCTTGTCAGTAATTTATTTATTATGTTGGTCTTTATTTCTAAATAAAGGTATTTTATGTATCTAACAATGGATGATCTGACATACAGGTGCACCCAAATGTTCCCTGCATGCTGTTTACCCCAATCTGCCCACACTCCCTCTCATTTAGACCTGTCATACTTCCAGATTCTGCACGGCTTGAATTAAAGGTGAACTAATTTTCATATCTGGACAATCATTATTGACAACAACGACAACAAAAAGTAAAAAAGGAAAAAATGAAAAAAAATATAATCAAGTTGGTTTTTCTTCTGCATAAATATCAGAACTGAAACCCTGTCCATGTGTTCTTATTCTTACTGGCAACTTCTTGATGAATTGTCTTTCCGGCAGAAGTTCTATTTCTTTAATTTTTTCTCAACTTGGAAACATATTTTTATTGTGTTAGTGACTCAGTGATCATATTTTTGTCAATAATATCATCAATTACGGATTTTCTAAAAAATTCTCATGTTGCACAGATCCCTGAGGATGCAAGAAGCAATGCATGGGTCTCATTTGATGGAAAAAGAAGGCAACAACTCTCAAGAGGTGATTCGGTTCGGATATCAATGAGCCAGCATCCACTTCCAACAGTGAACAAGTCTGACCAAACGGGCGATTGGTTTCACAGTTTGATTCGATGCTTGAATTGGAACGAAAGACTGGATCAGAAGGCCCTCTGAAACCTCTTCGACCTGGTATAAAATTTGTATAAGTTATTGTACGGATTATAACTTGAAAGAATTACATCTTTAGGAAGATTAGATATATTATTCATTTCATCAAATTGGCATCCCACATAAGAATGTGGGGTTTGCCATTTCTTTCTTTCATTGTTCGCCTCCAATGACGAGTTTGTGCAAATAATGTCGGAAGTTGGGTCTGTATCCAATTTACCCCTTTCAAACCACCATATAATGACTAAACTTGGTGTAATTTTTTTATATTTCAGGGGTTATTGTATAACCACGTTTAAGTGCTAGTAAAGGTTTAATTTTGCACCTCTCATGGGTCTTGATAATTGTGTCAAGAGATTTATTGCTGTAGTTTGTTTTTATATATAAACATCCACCAGAATAAGGGTCCATTAAAATAAGAGGGGAAAAAACTGGTTTATAAATGGCATCACAAGGAGAGCACAATTTTATAAAGATTATATATATATATATATATCTATAAGCGTTAATGGTAAAAAGTCTATTTCTACATGGCCATATGTTTTTTGGTCAGATGTTTAATCTTTTTTGGTGATATAAGGACACACATTAAAAAATCGTTAGAATAATTGTCGGTGTTGGAAAGTCGATGGAGAATTGGTTAGAAAAGTCATCGGAAAGTTGGCAGCACAGCTAGTGGCGGCAGTTGATGGTGGTGAGATGAATATATAAGTGGCATTGGAACAAATAATTGGACAGATAGATGACACGTGTACAGATAGGTGATATTTAGACAAATATGTAAATTTTGAACAGAAAGGTGTCTCTTTTGAACAGAAAATATCTTTTTTAGCCTAAAAAGATTTAAGCTTGGCATTATTGGATCAAAATAAAAAATAAAAAATATATATATATAAAGGTACAAAGCCTGCCATAATTGGGATTTTCTTCTTGAAATTGACCATCTGAAATTACTCTCCCACCTAGACCAAAATAAAAAGAGAAGACAAACAGTAGTCAAACATTTTAAAAGAAACATATAAAAATTTAAAGGAATATATGAAGTATAGATGGATGTAGTTAGATAGACTAGCACCTTGTCATGTACTGACTCATTGGGATGTCAATTTTACATCAAGTACTTTATAAGTGTATTAGTTTGTGAACAGTAAGACAGGTAAGGTAGATCTCCATCGCATCACTTAAGTTGGTCATTGGGCATAATACACAGGGTATGCAATATCACTTGTGGAGCCGGCTTCTCGAGAGGATGACAAGTGCCTAGTTCGTGACAAGTGGTATCAGATATGATTGGGACAATACGTGGGACTTACACCAAGCACCTTGATTGTGGGGTACGTACCAAGGGTGGTGTCCGCGTGGGGCGGGTTTCCCATCGGTAGAGGAACAAACAAGCATGGAGGTAGGCAGAAAATGTCCGCCTGACGAGGGCGTCAGGAATTGACGGTGGTAGCATGTCACGTATAGATTCATTGGAGATGCGAGTTTTACACTAAGTACCTTGCAAGCATATTAATTTGTGAGCAGCAAGACAAGCAGTATAGATTCCTATCGCATCACCTGAGTTAGTCTTTTGATATAATACATGGGTATGTAATACTACTCGTAAAGCCGACTTTTCTAAAGAATGACAAGCGCATAGTCCATGACAATCTGCCAGCATATAAGAAACCGACTTGAGGCTGTTTTCTATTCTGGAAACTTGACTTCTGAACCCATTTGGGTTTTGTAGAAAATTGACTTCCTACTACCCTTGTTTTTCATTTCTGAGTCATTCATTAAGTGTTGTGGTGGTACTGCATTACATAGACATTTTGCCCACTAAAAATCAAGCCCTTATTAAAAAAAAGAAAAAGAAAAAGAAAAGCAAAATAGACCAAGAAAATACTCGTATAACAAAGCTGACGACGTGAAAACATTTTCAAAGACCTTTTGAAGAAAGTATATTACATCAAACAATACTTTAATAATCCAACATCCACTACAAAAAATTTGATTTTTGCGACGGCAAAATGCTGTCGCAAATACTCATTATGCCGTCTCAAAAAATTTTTAGCGATGGCAAATGATTTTTAGCGACGGCAAACGGGGGGTCACAATAGAGGGCGTTGCAAAAACTTTTTAGCGACCGTCGCCTTTTTTTGCGACGGCATATGTTACTATTTGCGACGGCATTTTACTGTCGCAAATAATGTGTAAAAATACAGACCTTTTTGCGACGGCACTTTTTACCGTCGCCAAAAGTATTATTTGAGACGGTAGAAATTGCCGTCGCAAATTGTTTTTTTTTTTTGCGACGGCATATTTCTTTTTGCGACGGCATTGATTATGTCACAAAAAAGGTTTTTGACACACCGTCGCAAAAAATGCAATATTTATTAAAAATTATAAAATACCTGTTTTTTGCGACGGTTTGGTGTCGTCGCAAAAAAAAAAAAAAAACCTAAAAAACCTCCTGTAAATTAATTAAAAATATTAAAATTACTTGTATTCAATGAAAAACAATTAAAAAAAAAAAACCAAAAATTGCATAATAATATAAAAATTCCTCTATAGAAATAATAATCTCTCCTTAATAAACATATTCTTGGATTCATAACTATATATTAACAAAATTAACCCAGTACATAATGTTCCATAATACATATATAATGTTTAAATACATAATGTTATTCATAATTCAAAATAACATAAATCAAAATTAAAAATTTTCCTCAATATTCTCCATAGTACAAAAACAAAAATTAATGGCATTCTTCACAGGCATGAAATCCACAAGAAGCAAACTCCTACTCCGGAAATATCTGGGAAAAAAATAAAAATAATTAATGACAATATAATTATGTGTTAAAAAGAAAATTTTCAACAAGAAAATAATTCAGAATGTAAAGAAATATTTTGAATGAAGCAAACTAAAGAGGCTAGTGCCATGACCTCTTTGTTTTGATGAACTATCACTACTACAAATACAGATAAAGATCACACTTTTTTTGTGTGATGTATGTTTTTAATCACACATTTTAAGTTTTATTAAAGTGTGGTATTTGGGAGTGTGATGAAAATGGGTCATTTTTAATCACACTTTTTAAGTGTCATTAAAAAATGCTTTCATCACACCTTTTAAGTGTGATTAAAAATATTTAGATCACACATTTTAAGTGTGATTAAAAAAATTTAGATCACAGCTTTTAAGTGTGATTAAAAACATTTAGATCACACTTTTTAAGTGTGATTAAAAAAATTTCGATCACACCTTTTAAGTGTGATTAAAAACATTTAGATCACACCTTTTAAGTGTGATTAAAAACATTTAGATCATCTTTTAACTGTAATTAAAAATATTTAGATCACACCTTTTAAGTGTGATTAAAAACATTTAGATCACACCTTTTAAGTGTGATTAATAACATTTAGATCACATCTTTTAAGTATATTAATAACTAATAAAACCTGTGATTAAAAAAAAAGAATTCGACATATTTGAAGAATAATCAATATTATTTTTGTACGCGCATTTGAAGAATATAATACACACTATATACTATATTTTGAATTACAACCATATATTGAATGGAATAACGTCATATATTTCATAAATGAAAGTTAAATGTTCAAAAGTATGTACAAAGAAATTAATAAAAAGTTTTTAACTGTGATTACATATATTGGAAAAAAAAAACTTGAAAAAACTAAGTTCGTGAATTCTTTGACCATATTTTGCATCTCTCCAAGAAATTTCTGACCTGAAAAATAAAAAAACAAATTAATTTAGAAACCGCTAGAAGCATATGAAAAAACGTACTATTTTTGTAGAGATTGTTCTTGTCTTACAAAAGACAAAATCGAACATTTTCTCATCACGCTGACTCTTCATCCCCTGCATCAATAGAAAGAAATAACGAATTTGATTATTACTAGTATAAAATGTTTGTATTACCATATATAAATATGACATATACATATGGAGCATGATTGAACAGTATATATAAACACATATTAGTAAATCATAGCCTTGAAAAGATTTTGTCAAAAAATTATTATAGCAACACATCAACAGAGAGAGTAAACTAAACTAAATCCTAACAAAAATTAAAGCTCAAATCAAGGTAGAGAAAGAAAAGCAATTAATATACCAAGTCAAGATGGGTCAACTCCAAAAGACTAAACAAATGAACAACCCCCCACAGTTCCAGTATTTGAGTGTTGAGCAATTCCACCAAGATTTTAACAATTATGTGCTAGTGTATCTGTTTTCAGATAAGAAAAAATATAAGTAGTGAGTGGATAGAAAGAGAAGAAAGAGATGAAATGATGAAAGAGAAAAGAAGAAAAGAGCACAAAAGAGAACAAGTTTAAAGGAGGGAAAGTCTGGAATAGTTATATAACTACCATGACCCAAATTTGTTTTCAACTTAACCAGAATTAACTCATGGTAATTTGTCCATATACAAAGCAAAGTCGTGAATACACTATCATGTATAACAGTCATAGAAAAGAGAGAAGTGCATATTGCATCATAGCAAAGTGCGTCTGATTGGGCTTGCCTTTCATGCTAACCTAGTTAAGATGAAAGGGTTTCGCTATGATGCAATATGTACTCTTTTTTGTTGTTGTATCATGTGTTGCGCTTTTCATGGTCTTTTCATCAATAAAATTTTCTTTTGCTAATCAAAAAATAAAAAATAAAATGGATAACCGTCATAACGCTAATCACACTTTTCAAGTAAGATAACAATAAACACTAAAGATATAATTTCTATTCAATGTCTGAGGACATGCTATCTTCAAAAAACATAGAAAACCACCATATGATATTTGAAAAATCATTAAAAAAAATAAATAAGTTATTTATTCATCATGGTGAACATATAATTTTTGAAAACAGTGATGTTCAAAAGCCTGCATGTTTTGTAACTTAGCCTTCCAAACCAAAGAAATTGGAGATTTATGATCATAGCACCCAATAAATTGAGTTGATTTTAGCTGTTCCATAATATGTACATAGTTCACTTATGCAAGAATAAATATACGCTTACCATCACTCAATAAATAACTTTTCATGGAGAGTCTCAAGCTATCATCTCAGATTATTTCAATTTTAGAATCACAAATTAGAAGCAATATTTAAAGATAACTCTAAATTGACTTTGTACTCTTATTGAGAACAATGTATCTAGGGTAGTCAACATTTGGCTTGTAACCTATTACCTACCCAACTTTGTCTATTTCTAATTGCTATTAGTGAAAATCAAATGACGCCAAAGGCAAAATAAAAAAATTACAAAATATTTATTTATCATATTTCGAATTGGGTTCATCCTTATATTCATTGTATTGGGTATCATGCAATACAAGAGTGATATACAAGACTGATCTAGTGTGAAGCAATCTCAAACTCTTGAGTGTAAGAGTGGTATTTTGTGAAGGTTGTGAGTTTTCCTAAGATGTACTTGAGTTTACTATCTTCCATTGTACAAATACTTTTGTATTAAGTAAAATTTACACATTTTATGAAATTTGTTATGTTCTTGAAGTGATTATATATTCCTTACCAACTAAAAAAATTGTTTATTAGCAATTTAAAGAACGGGAGTTATATCATACTTACATGTTAGATTTCAACTCATATTCTTTAGTACGAAATTAATCTATTCAACTCGCACTTCATCAAGTTCGGTTTCTGTGTAAGTCTTTTTTCCATTGAACTACAAGAGGTTATTTAGAAACAATTAGATCATGAAGAAGATGTACAAGTATCATGAATATAGTAGTAATAAAAGTTTAGAATTTATCTCACATTTTGTTTTTTTAGGATGCTTTGATCTCTAATGAGGTCTTCAATATATCTCATTACATAAAACCCACATTCCACATTTGTAGGTTGTTGCGGGGACTACATGAAAGCATTTTCATTATTGTTAGAAACTACATATAAAGTGTTATGATCAAGCTGAACAACCATTAGCATAAATATAAGAATGATAAAATTAGAGAAAATAATATTGATTACCTAAACTACTTTCCAAACTGGATTGGTCCTCCTCCTCCTTTGGATAGTTTCATAAATTTTCAAAGCACTTTATAAAAGAAATTTCAAAAGTCAAAATATTTTTAGACAAACTCAAATTGCTTAAAAATGTACGAACTAGCCAAACTTACGTGTTTATTACAATTTTAAGACTTGTGTTTATTTTAGAATTAATCGGATCAAGCAAGTACACAATCATCAATGTTAGATCAATGACTAACAATATCCAATGGTACCTACAATTGAACAAGTCACAAGTATGAGCTTAATAAGTTTATTATCATTTGAACACATGAAATAAATAGTTTTAGATAATTACCCAATATTATAAGGAATTAAAATCAATTGCTCTAGCATAGCCTCCTCTAATCTTCTTGCAAGCAACACTGATTTTGATTTCTCCCCATCCATAGTTTTTCCACTAACGATACAAGGTTTGACAAATACAAATTGTTTCCTCCAATTGGAAACCTTCAAAACTTGATGGAGATGACTAATAAAAGAAACAAATGTTAATTAAATTCGTAATTCATAAAATCTGCAAAAATAGCTATTGATGTAGCAAATTTTCCTTACCTTATGTACAACATGATACATGTAACAGATAATTCTTTTACATGACATATGTACTCCATGTCTACTTTTTGAAGTTGGATATTGATCTCCACCCCAAATATGTTTTCTCTAGTGGAATGTCTATGGCTTCATCATACTTGATATGCTCGACTAATAAAACAAAAGATTGAATGGACTCTTGATATTTTCCACATTCAACATTAATTGAAACTCCCTAAGTTTAAAATTTTCAAAATAAACAAATATAAGTCAACTTTAATTTTAAGAAAGTGTAATAAAGTTTCTAAGTTTGAATATTTTACCTCATCACTGACCAATACAAGATTTTTGGGCCAAGCAACAAAAAATCTCACTGCTTCTCCAACAATAAGCATCTCATCTGAGATAGGTATAGGAAGAGGGGCATCTTTTTGAATAACAACTTCAATAGACACACGTACATTGGATTCTCCTAATGGCACCATATGAATGGTTTCATTGGGTTTAATTCTCTCATACACGGTGCCTTGTGCAACAATATTTTCAATAGAACCTACCGCGAGTTTACACGGTTTGCCCTATAACACACAAAGTTAACAATGGAACTTCTAAGAATATCACTAATGAATATCACCAAAATTTTACCATAAGTGTCCTACTTGTTTAAAAAAACACCAAATATTTTGGAGGCTACAAATTACAATTATTACGTTAATCATGCATATAGCTACAAAATTCAAAATTAAGTATACAGTCAAAAATTTCTTTTGAAATTTTACAAAATTTGAACAGAAAAATATTCCCACCCCAGGTTTGTCTAATTCTCTAATTTTTGTCTAAATTCTAACCCACAATATTAAGAACCTGAAAAATAAAAAACTAACAATGCTGGAACAAAATAGAATCAAATAATCGAATCATATACTAAAATTATAACTCATACTATCAAAGGAGAATTAAAAAAAAAAAAAAACAAATGAATTTAGGGGGCTTACGTGGAAGCAGAGGGACCGAGGAGGGGATTTTCTCTGAGGCTCTGAAAGGCGAAGCGGCCGAGGAGATCTTGGGCGACACAATCGGTGAAGTGAGAAGGGCAATCGTTGATGTACAAGGCGAGGACGAAGAGGCCAATGTTGATGACCACGAAGGTGGGCACCATCCATGCGAAATGGTTATTGTGTGGCGGATGCATTGGAGGAGATAGGGCGGAGTGCGGTGGTGGTGGTCTGCTTCTCCTGCTAGTCCACCAGTGGAGAGGCAGTCCACATCGTCGATGGGCGTAGAAAGGAGGAGAGAGAGAGAGGTTGGGATTAAATTTAGCAGAGAATCTCCATTTTGGGGATTGAAAGTGGAGGCTGGGTTTTGGAAGAAGAAGTTGGGAAGCCATGGATGGACAATAAATCGGGAATGATGGGAGAGAGGGAATTGTAAGCTAAATTTAGAGAGAGAAAGAGAGGACGGAAGACGAAGAGGTGAAAACACCACATCGTGGCTGATAGATGGCTGATTCTATTAATTTTTTCTTTAAATTTTTATCAATTTTAAAAGAATTTCATTCTTATCCCAATTTTTTTTTCACCAATTTTGATGGAAAAAATAATAATTTTCAACATATTATCTTTTTAAATTTTTATCAAATTATAATTTGATAAAAAAAATATTAAGGGTTGAAGATTCTTTTAATTGGAATTATAGTTAAATAACATCTTAAATATATTGCTTCCAAATTCTCTATTACTGACTCTCAACACTGTGTTTGTATCATGGATTTGATTTCCCTTTCCAAATCCCTACCCAAATCAATGATCAAAACACAGCCTTAATACTTCCAACTATCAATTCAATTTCCAAAAGATGTCACAACAAAGAAGAAAGAAAAGACCCAATTGACAACAACCCAATTCAATTGAAGTGCTTATACCTCAGCTGAAAAAGAAAAAAGAAAATCCCAATACACATAGAATGAAACTTTAAAAATACACATACCTCTGAAGAAACATGGCTTCTTCAAGAGCGCACCTGAGGCTGGACTCCTGATGACCCAAACCAGCACAGGTCTCACAGTTCTTTCCGGGACAGTCGATTCTGTTACCCCAGTACAAGTACTTTTCGGAGGCATTGAAGGGTCTCTGATGAGTCTTAACCACCAAGTTTTTGAGGGTTTTGGCAGAGGAAAAAGAGAACCCATTTGTGGAATTCAGAGAAGAGAGAAGGTACAAGAGAGCAATTGCTGAGATGGAGATTGTGAGTATGAAGACTGGGGATCTGGGTTTTTTGTTGCTCCTTGGGGCTTTGTGGATCGCCATTGATGTCTGTTGCTGAGTCAAGTGTAAAAGTGGAAAAAAAGAAAAAATAAAAACCAGTTGGGAGTTGGATTGGGTCCTAGGCTAAAACAAGTAAGCAATCCCGACCCGACCCGTTATGAAACTTGACCCAAAAAAAAGGGTTGATTAATATACGAATAAATTATTGATAAATCTCATTTAGAAGTGTTTTAACTCAAGAAATTTATGAAGAAATTTTTCAACCCATTTAGTCCAACGTATGTATAGTTTTATTCCATAAAATCTTTTATTTTTATTTACACTATTTTCTTGGATATTTATGCCCTTATATTTAATTTTGATATCCTTATAAATATTTTTTGAACGGTTAGCGTGTGTTTGATAACGTTTACGTTTTCAGTTTATATTTACAAAAATTTTATAAGTTGGTTTTTGTTTATTTTTTGTTTATTTTTAGAAAAACATAAACTACAAACGCGTTTTGTTTAGACAAAATGTTTAAAAAAAATTAAAAATATAAAAAGAGTGAGAAATGGCAAGTGGTGGCAGGTGGTGGGTGGTGACGAGTGGTGGCGGCGAAAGACGGTGGTGGAAAATGATAGTGGGTGGTGGTGGTGGAAGACGGTAGTGGAAAATGGTGGCAGGTGGTGGCTAGTGTTGGGTGGTAAAAAAAAAAAAAAAACTCAAAACTCAAAACGGAAACACATTTTTTGAATTTACATTTTTTGGCTAAATTTATAAACTGAAACCACTGATTTATAAATTAAAAATTTACCAAACAAGTTTTTATTTGAGTTTTTTTAATTTTTGTAAATATAAATAGAAAACTGAAAACGTAAGTATTACCAAACGACACCTTAGCAAATAGGCTTTAGATGGTAAAAATGTCGTAAAATTAACAAATATTTAAATAAGTTACCAACGTAAGAAATGACTTATCAAAAGATTCTTAAGCCATATATGGTTTGATTTTTAGAAATTTTTTAAAAAAAATTAAAAATTAATTTGGTTAAGAAAAAAAAAATAAAAAATAATTATCATTTAAGGGTAAAAAATAATTATCATTTTAATTTTTGGGCATGTTATATACATACGTATGGCTGTTTCAATTTAATTTGTAAAAAATTATTTCTAACCACTCGAAAGATAAAAATTATATAAAAATGATAATTATTTTTATTTTTTATTTCTTAACCAAATTATTTTTTAATTTTTATTTATTTTTTCTAAAAATCAAACCATACGTAGCCTAAGAATCTTTTGATAAGACATTTCTTATATCAGTACCTTATTTGATTATTTGTTAATTTTACGACATTTTTACAATCTAAAATCTGTTTGGTAACCATTTCGTTTTCAGTTTTCAATTTATATTTACAAAAATTTAAAAAACTGTCATAAAAACTTGTTTGATAATTTTTTTGATTTATAAATGGTTGTCTCAATTTGTAAATTTGAGAAAAAAACGTAAATTCAAAAAATGAGTTTATGTTGGTTTTTAAACAGAAATTTAAAAATTTTACTAACAAAATTTTTTTCAATTAATTTTTTTTCCAATTAATTTTTTTTCAATGAATTTTTTTCCAACTAATACTAACCGAGAGGGCAATTGGCAATACTACTTTAAACCTTAGGGAGGGGATTGTAATTTTTAAAATATAAGGGGTGTCAATATAATTTACCCAGTGAGGGCAAAATTGGTATTTAAAAAAATTAAATTGCTGAGGGGGGAATCTGTAATGAAACTTTAAACCTCAGGGAGGGAGATGTAATTTCCAAAACGTGTGAGGGGGAACTATAATAAACATAAATCTCAGGGGGTGTCATTGTAATTTACCCTATATATATATATATATAATCACACTTAATTAGAAAGTGACATAAAAAATAAATATTATCACACTCAATCAGATTAAGTGTGATTAAAAATTTGAAAATTGTATATTTTATACAATCACACCTATTTAGAAAGTGTGTTTAAAAAGTAGTAATGTATATATAATCACACTTTAATTAGAATGTGTGATTAAAAAATACATATAATCACACTTTAATTAGAATGTGTGATTAAAAAATATATATAATCACACTCATTTAAAAAGTGTGATTAAAAAATAGTAGTGTATATATAATCACACTTTAATTAGAAGGTGTGATTAAAATTTATATATATAATCACACTTATTTAAAAAGTGTGATTAAAAAATAATAGTGTATATATAATCACACTTTAATTAGAATGTGTGATTAAAGATATATATAAATAATCACACTTTAGTTAGAAGGTGTGATTAAAAAATATATATATAATCATACTTATTTAAAAAGTGTGACTAAAAAATAATAGTGTATATATAATCACACTTTAATTAGAATGTGTGATTAAAGATATGTATAAATAATCATACTTTAATTAGAATGTGTGATTAAAAAATATATATAATCACACTTATTTAAAAAGTGTGATTAAAAAATAATAGTGTATATATAATCACACTTTAATTAGAATGTGTGATTAAAGATTATATATAATCACACTCATTTAAAAAGTGTGATTAAAAAATAGTAGTGTATATATAATCACACTTTAATTAGAAGGTGTGATTAAAATTTATATATATAATCACACTTATTTAAAAAGTGTGATTAAAAAATAGTAGTGTATATATAATCACACTTTAATTAGAAGGTGTGACTAAAAAATATATAAATAATCACACTTTAATTAGAATGTGTGATTAAAATATATATAAATAATTACACTTTAATTAAAATGTATGATTAAAATATGTATAAATAATCACACTTATTTAAAAAGTGTGATAAAAAGTAATAGTGTATATATAATCACACTTTAATTAGAATGTGTGATTAAAATATATATATATATATATATATAATCACACTCATTTAGTGATTAAAAAATAGTAGTGTATATATAATCACACTTCAATTAGAATGATTGCGACGACAAATGTGCCGTCGCAAAAAGTTCCGTCTCTTATGCCCACTTTTCTTGTAGAGATCAAGTAGTCAAATGACATGGTTATGAAAGTTCACCAAGCAAGTCCCGAGTCGAGTCGAGTCTAGTCTAATCTGAATTTTTGTTTCCTCTGGCTCCATTCCTACTACTTCGTTCATGGTTGGCCTTTCACTGCCTTTCACTCTTAAGCGTCCTTCTCTACTAAAATAGCGACTTCCTTAATCTTAATGTGGTCAGCCTTTGCGTAATCCATCAACGTGACATAAAAAATGATCCTCTTTCTTGAGGAAAGAAAAAGTATCTAACTAAATTTCTTTCCTCTTTATGCCTATCAAAAGATAGTGCCTTCTTACCCATCCGTAACTCCACAAGGACCGCCCCAAAACTATAAGCTTCACTCTTTATACGAAGTGGTTTAATTGAATTGTCTAGGACCAAGTGAAAATCCAGAGTTGGATACTTTCTGTGTACTTCTATCTAAAGAGGATACTACACCTAAGGGTTGTGTTTTCGTTGATTTTAATTAATTAATTTATTTTTTTGAAAATGAAACCAATTAAATTTAAAGCACCCATTGTTTTCATTTATGTGCGGAAACAAAATTTTGAAATTGCTAAAACAACTTTTTACGGTTTCCTAAAAAGTGAGGTTTTTTAAATGACAAAAAAATTCCCAAAATTATGTTTTCGAAAAAGTTCTCAAGCTAGTTTGTGTCTTTTTCATAAAATGAATACAAAAAAACAGAAAACGAAAACACAATTAAACAGTAAATTTTAGAAGGAAGTACCGTAATACTTTCACTTCTTTTCCATTTTCACTTCCATTCAAGGAAATGATGAGAAGTACAGTTTACATGTGCTAATGTACAAAGCAAACCTCAACAAGAAGTTCAATTAAAAGCACTCAAAACAACACACAAAGTCCTAACCACTTAAGCTTTAAGCTAGCTCATGATAAGCTATATATAGCAGCTCAATATCCATTCTTGATGATATATCAATCACATAATCACACGGCCTTCACAGCAAGGAACCTTGGTTCCTTAGGAAGGAACTTCTGCTCAGCATAGACTGACATGTAGTCCCCAAACACATACTTAGGATAAGCAACTTCTTCATCCTCTTCATGGTTCACCTTTTCCATAACTAGTTCTTTTGCAGGAGCTATGGTTGCGTCGAGCGACGGATTGTAGAACGAAGCAATCGACCTTCTGTTCCCATCCAGTTTGGCCAAAACCCTGTGCCAAACACTCTTGTACGTCCCATTGCTCAACACCTCGATCTGGTCACCGGTGTTGATGACAATGGAATTGGGCATTGGTTGGACATCAATCCATTGTCCATCTTTGAGGATCTGAAGTCCTCCAACTTTGTCGTCTTGATAGAGTAAGATGACACCTCCGGCATCGGTGTGGGCCCGAAGTCCGATCACCTTGTCGGGATGAGGACATGGTGGGTAATGGCTGACCTTGGTGCCAAAGAAGGCTTTTTCACCATCTCCACCGTTGAATGCTTTCTTGATGTATCCCTTTGGCAAGCCCAAGTTCTCATCCATGGCTTCCATCACTTTCTCGCCCAGTTTCCTCAACTCAGATCGGTATTCTGTCATCGTTTCCCTGCCATCAAGTTCACAAGTTATACCATATTATTAAACACGGTGAGCGTTTTGAAAGTACTCTGTTAGATTACCACTGGTCTTAAAAACTTAATCTGTTAAAAAATAGACTTAATTATACATATCAAATTAATACTCTCCTCACATATGATCTCGTTTGGCACATGGATAGACAAACAAATTGAGTGAACAAAATACATAAAGATAAATAAAATAAAATAAAGTGCATAATAATAAAGATTAAAAGGGTAAAAAGACTTGAATTTTGGTCTTGAACCTTCTCAGAACCAGAAGTTTAATACCATATTAAGTAATCAATAACTAATTTGGAGAGCAATACCATATTCTTTTTTCTTTTCTTTTGTTTTAATATTATATATAAAATAAACAAATTTTTTTACTATACAAAGATAATGATTCTCACGTGTATTTATTAATGTGAGTTGTATTACATTTGTGTTGTGTATTTATTAATGTGAGTTGTATTACATTTGTGTTGAGTGATAAGAAAATGTTATAAGAAATCTGTTTATGTAAATCATTACTCAATTTAAAATTTAGATTACATCTTTTTATTCTTTGCTTGGTTGCTGATAAAATTAGGTTATTCTTGAGTCTCTTCCGACTTTTTCTACATTTTCTCAGTAACCAAACAAGAGTACTCATAATTCATAGCAACTGGAAGACAAATCGAGAACAAGAATGATAGGTGAATTTGCTTACTTGAATCGTGGAGTCTTTAGTAGTGGCCACTCGTTATCATCAGAGAGGAGGAAAACATCCTCCCAATCCACATTCTCCAACTTGTCGCCACTCTTCTTCTCCATCAAATCGTTCAACATCTTCACTGGTTCTGAGTTCTTGATGTTGCGGATCGGGGGCACACCAGGGAACTCAAACAAGCAATAACACACAAGATTTAACGTGGTTCGGCAAGTCGCCTACGTCCACGGGCAGCGGATTCACTATATTGAACAAAATGGTAAGAATTACAACACTCTCTGTAATTCTCTCTCTCTCTCTCTGTTATCTCAGCTGTACATCTCAACTCTCCTTAGCTTCTCTATATATAGAGATTACAAATGCAAGAGAATGAGCTGGCTGCCAGCCCATTTTTGTGCTTTCGGTGGCTGGCTTCTCATGGCCTCATGACCAACTCACATGGCCTCATGGCTTCCCCACCATGGCCTCATGGCCAACTCACATGGCCAGAATCTGTAGCCAATATTCAACAAATCTTCACCTTGGTGAGGATTCTCTTATCCAACATAGTGATCGATCAATACTGCCATGCACCCGAAGGTGCTCAGTTCCGAGAGATGTTGACCAAGTCCAAACAATGTTGGAACTTGATCCCAGAAACTACCTTTGTGAGCATATCGGCCGGATTATCTGCAGTACCAATCTTTTGAAGCAGAATATCCCCTTCATTCACAATTTCTCGGATGAAATGGAAACGGACATCAATGTGCTTGGTGCGGGAATGATGAACCCGGTTCTTTGCCAAACAAATGGCACTCTGACTGTCACAAAACACCTCAACGTGCTTCTGAACAATTCCCAAGTCTTCAATCAACCCATGTAGCCAAATAGCTTCCTTAAAGGCTTCCGTCACTGCCATGTACTCTGCCTCTGTAGTAGACAAAGCCACCGTTGACTGAAGCGTTGACCTCCAACTTACCGGCCCTTTAGCAAGCGTAAATAAATACCCTGTTGTTGACCGGCGTTTGTCTAAGTCACCAGCATAATCTGAGTCCACATATCCTTCCAAATTCTGCCCGAGTCGGTTATCTCTCTAGAACTTCAATCCCAGATTGACCGTGCCATGTATGTACCTTAGGATCCATTTCACTGCCTGCCAGTGATCTTTTCCTGGATCATGCAGATACCTGCTTACCATACTCACAGCATGCGAGATGTCAGGCCGTGTACAAACCATAGCATACATTAATGCACCAACTGCATTTGCATATGGAACCTGTGCCATATGCTTCCGTTCGTCTTCTGTGCGTGGAGACAACGAAACACTAAGCCTGAAATGAGGGGCCAATGGTGTACTCACAGCTTTTGTTTTCCCATTTATGCCAAATCT